GTAAATGTGTTTCATATTCTGGCTGGTGGTAATGAATAAAGCATTCACCATAGTTATCCCACAGACTTCCAAAAGGAATTTACCACTATATCACAGCAATTCTGGTTATTGACCCTTTATTCTTCCATTTATGCAAATTTGTTGATGTGGTTTTGTCTTGCAGGAGATGGTGTTGTTATTGCTGGATAATTGGACTTGGGATAGGTGCAACATTCAGTGTTAGTAGGGCAGCTATAGCTTTTACTGTGCACTACAAATGGGAAACAAGTATTTGCATATCAGTGCTCTTATTGTGGTGTGAAGTCTCGTACAGTGAAAGCTTTGAGGGCTTTTTGTAGTTAATGAAAAATGTATGTGAACTGCAGAGTTGCTGCATGTGACCAAATTTGACTTCTAAGGTTTTGAGAGAAAATGAAGCATCTTAGAATAATATTTTTGGCCTTTAAAAAGCCTCCAGTACTGCAACAAACCCCAAGATTTAAGGGGACTACTGTTTTCGTGAATTTTCACAGTTAGGAAAAGTGGCTACCATGGGTGCTATCAAATCTTGACTCTCTATGTAAAGATCTGTCATACCACTTCATAAATTACTTTCTACTTAGTAGATTGTCATATACAGTGATGTATGTCTTTAATTCTAATTTACACACATCCCAAAATATTATGTGGATTTTAAAGCCATGTTGAGTCAAGACCAGACTTCACATATGAATATGGTTGTTTATCTCATGTTAATTCTTATAGAAACATATGGCTAAGCCATTTCTAAACCTTTCATCTTCCCCCTTTATTTTATGTCTGTTGTATATTATATGCATATTTTCTTGTCTGGAAACTTGTCTCTTTTTTGTTGTTTTTGTTTAAAAAGCTTGGTCTGTGGAGTTTAGTAATGTCTCATTGATATTTGAATTCAGGTCACATATTTTGCATCCACTGGAAAAGTGTGTTATAATTTTTTGCTTTTATATTAGAAGTTTACAGTAAAAGTCAAACCTCTTTATAGATCCGTGATAACTAATCTGTTCGAGCTTTAGAGGTAAAGATAGTGCTTCAAATATTTAGGGGCTACAGCCAATCTTGGAAGAATATTCTCTGCTAGACAGTGTAAAGGCATTTCAAAATGCTTGTGAGTTCCCTGAATCTGTGTAAATGGGAACATCCACAGCAGGCACCAATCTGTCACTGCTGGTCATTATACCTGTGACTTTCTGTAGCTGCATGTGCACAGCCTGTGTCCAGGGTACAGAGAAGGAAAAGTCAGCTGTCCATATGAATCTGTTATTTCTAGGTAAAGATGGATAATTAACATAAATAATGAGGTAGCCTGATTCTATGCCCAGCCTAAGACAAAGACCTGAGGAACCAGAGTAATGGTTAAATTTTAGATTCTCCTCAGATCTCCAGTGCTGGGGTGAAGAGTGAAAGCAGTTCATCTTTCAGCACTCATGCTACTCCCACTTATTCATGTGGGGACAGGACTTAGGCACGGCACTTCATCTCAACCTCTGTGTGTACTTAGACTTGATAATCTTCTCCTTTTTTAGATGCTCTTTTAATGACTACTGTTCAGGACTTTGCCACTGGGCCTTGGGGCAATAGATACAGCTGTTCCTGCCTCACAGAGGCTCTGATCTTTTAATTCAAAAGTCTTTGTCCAGTTTTTCCTCTAATGAGAAATAATGGCTTCAGTGATAAGTATTTTGATAATTGAAGAACAAAAATATGTGTAGATGCCCCCAATTTTCTATAAGCAAACTTTTACAGAACAGACTTCTAAATTGTATGCTCATACTTATGCATGGCCAATTAACTGGAATTGTGGGAAGACAAACTTACCTTAGATTCTATGATGAGGCAGGGAGTGGGCTGCTGATCCCAATTTAATGCTAGTTTTATTTTCAGGTTCTTCCTCAACAAACAAAGATGTGCTGAATATGAATAATAATTATTGTGTAGGATATATGTGTGCATATGTGGATGGGGTCTGTCCTAACCTGAGACGTGTATTTGAGTTTCCTATTTTAGTAGTTGTTTGTCTAGATACTTAATGGGAGAAGAGAAATTGCCTCAAAACCAAATTGAGAGCACCTTGGTTAGGAGGCTTCTGTCTCTCATTTTCATTCAGTTACTGAATTAAGTTAAATACTCCTCCTAAAAACCGGCTGATAGATTTTTCCTTTGTTGGTCCGTTTTTCTTTGTTGGTGTAAAAATAGAATCATACAATGATTTGGGTCGGAAGACCCTAAAGATCATCTAGCTCCACCCCTCCTGCCGTAGGCCCAGTACCTTTCATTATAGCAGGTTGATCAAAGTTGCATCCAGCCTTCAACGTTTCCTGGCATGTGGAGTCCACAGCCTCTCTGGGCTAGAAGTTCCAGTTCCAGTGCCTCACCGCCCTCACAGTAAAGACTTTCTTCCTAATCTAAACCTATCCTCTTTCAGTTGGAGACCATTACCTCCTGTCCTGTCACTCCATGCCCTTGTGGAAAGTTCCTCTCAGCCTTCTCATGGGCTCTCTTTAGGTACTGGAAGGCTGCAGTTAGGTTTCCCTGGACCCTTCTGTGCTGCATGCTGTACAACCCCAGCTGTTTCAGCCTGTCTTCATAGGAGAGATGCTCTAGCCCTTTCATCAACTTACTAGCTTCCTCTGGACTTGCTCCAGCAGGTCCGTGTCTTTCTTGTGTTGGGGACCTCAGATCTGGACACAGCACTCCAGATGGAGTCTCACAAGAGCAGAGTGGAGAGGCAGAATCACCTCCCTTGATCTGCTGGTCACGCTGTTTTTGATGCAGCCCAGGACATGGTCGGCCTTCTGGGCTGCAAGCACACATTGCCAAGTCGTAATGGTGTTTTCATCCACAAACACCAAGAAGTCTTTCTCCACAGGACCAGTCTCGATCCGTTCTCTTTCCAGCCTATACTTGGGATTAGCCCTATCCAGGTGCAGCACCTTGCACTTGGCGTTGTTGAACTTTGTGAAGTTGGCACAGGCCCACCTCTCAAGCCTGTCAAGGTCTCTCTGGATGGCATCCCTTCCCTCCAGCATATCAACAGCACCACATGTCTTGGTGTCATTGACTGACTTGCTGAGGTGATTGAGGGTGCACCCCATCCCACTGTCCACGCCACTGACAAGAGATGTTAAATGTGCCAGTCCCAGTTCTGTCCCCCGAGGAACACCAATCATCACTACTTTCCCCTTGGGTTTTGAGCTGTTGACTGCAACACTTTGAGAGGGACCATCCAGGCAATTTTTTATTCCACCGAGTGATCCATTCATCAAATCCACATATCTCCAGTTTAGAGATAAGGATATTTTGTGCAACAGTGTCAAATGTTTTGCACAAGGCCAGGTTGATGACATCTCTTGCCCTTCACTTGTTCACCACTGCTGTAACCCTGTTGTA